CATCCCCAGATGTGATGGAGCAGAGTGTTATAAATGCTCTGGACCTCGATTTGTCATTTGTGGGATTAAAGAGACATTTTACACCTTTTTAAAAAACATTTTATTCCTCAACTCTTTCTATTTTGAGTCTCTAAAGTGGCATTCAGGGTACTACTGTGGAGGAGATGATTTTTCAAGCCACTTTAGAAAGCAATAAAGGATTGGTGAATAATTAATAATGCTTGAGTGTATATTAGAAATATAAACAAGATTTCCTATCCGTAGATTCCAGACTGTATATTAGAAATATAAACAAGATTTCCTATCTGTAGATTCCATCTGTTATCTGTATTTTAGAATTTTAGAGCTAAGTAAAGAACAGATTGAGGCTACTCTACTTTAGAGAAATTGGCTTTTGAGGAGCCATCTTTCCAGCTTACATTAAAAAAGAAATGTCAAAGCACCTTCATCTTTGCCAGTCAAACAGTGATATTGTCTGTAAATGTTTAACCACTGACAGTCTGGGTGCAAAAGTCCTGATTTTTTATTTTTGTAGTAAAATTAATTTTCCTATGCCAGGGATATGATAAAGGGGGAAATACTAAAATTAAGAAACTGGAAGGGAAATTACTGGCAAATATTGTGAAGATGCTTCCTTCTTTTCCTCCTTCAGCTGATAATAGCTCAGAGGCCAGAGGCTTAACCACAGAGTTGAATCTGTTTGGAGTAATTGTTTGAAGTGCTCTGATTGTTCTAGATGGGAAACCCTTCTCCATCGTCCCTCAGCTGGTTGGCGATTTCAATTTACAGGTTAAACTTTCTTTTTCTAACATCTAGTAAACATTGACATCAGATAAGACCACTTTTCAAAAAGCTAGTTAGCTGGGCATCATGGCACACATCAGCAGTTCTGGAGGCTGAGGCAGGAGGATAGCAGTTCAAAGCCAGCTTCAGCAAAAGGCACCAAGCAACTCAGTGAGACCCTGTCTCTTAATAAAATACTAAATAGGACTGGGGATGTGGCTCAGTGGTGGTATGACCCTGAGTTCAATCCCCTGGTCCACTCCGCCTTCCCCCCAAAGCTAAAGTGATCACTTTGGTTATCTAATGAGGCATAAATGATCATCAAAATGGTCCATTTTTTAAACTAAAAGAGAGTAGAGGAGATAAAATAATTTAATATCTCATTCCTCTTGTCTTAGAAAGGAAATTCATAAAATGTGGATCAACAGCTTTGAAAAGATCTAGGTTTAATCCCAAGTACCACAAGGAGGAAGGAATGGAGGGAAGGAGAGAGGAAAAGAAGAAGGAAGGAAGGAAGGAAGGAAGGAAGGAAGGAAGGAAGGAAGGAAGGAAGGAAGGAAGGAAAGAAAGGAGGGAGGGAGGGAGGTTGGTCAAGCAGTGTGGCACATACCTGTAATCCCTGTGACTCAGGAGGCTGAGGCCAGCCTGGGAAATTTAACAAGACCGTGTCTCAAAATAATTTGAAAAAAAAAAAAGGGTGGGGTGGGGTGGAATATGTCTCTTGGGGATATAGCTCAGTGGTAGAGAATCCCTGGGTTCAATTCCTGGATCAATACAGAAAGAGTGGATCAATACAGAAAGTCATCCATGTAGATTTTGTCACTTAACCAAGTTTACCATTTGCCTCTAAAGTTAGAAGACTCCTGAATTATATGATATGAGATTTTAGAGAGAAGATATGTTCTGGCAGAATAAATCTGGTGTTTCTATCATGCCTCAGACACCTGGAAAATAATATCTCCAMATCAAAAATGTCTAATCCCATTTGGACAAAAGCCCTGATATAAGCAAGTTTATAAATTATAGAGACCATTATCTTTTTATATAAAATGCATTAAATAGTTTTCATTTTTTTTTTATAAAAGTAGTCTTTACCAAACATTTCCTCTTTAGATTAATTCATTTATCTGGCAGTATTTATGGAGTAGATGCTCTGTCTAGGGCCTGGAGTTGAGTAGGAAGTGAATCATTACCATGGATAATCTAAACAGTCCTTTGAAATTCTTGGGTTCTAAAACCTGATGGAGGCAGAGAAAGGAAAGAAGCCTACTGCTAACCACAGACATCTTCAAATGTGACATTCCCTACCTTTGAGCTTCCTCGGCCATCTGGACAACTTCCATTTGCTGGAACATTTGATTCTTACTGAAGTAACTGATCCATACTCCAAAACGTTTACACAATTCTCCATATACAGAGCCAAAGACTTCTTTAAAAAGTGTGGGAAAGCCAGTGATGGCTATGCAGAAGAATATGTAGCAATCAGAAGGTATCAGAAAAGATTAAGCTCTTAAGTACCATCAGATTTAACTATCACCTTTAAATTCCTACCTTATGGTCATTCTGCTTGTCCCCAGAATAAGTGTATATCAGTTATAATTGCCTATTACCAAAGAGATTGGATGTTGAATAATTAGATCAGAAAACAACTTTATAATGCAATGCTTTCCTTGATCTGGTAGTAGGAGCAAAAACCAATTTTCATTTGTGAATCACCTGTCTGTATTTAACATCGTTAACATTTGCATACTGCTTGAATGCAAGGGGCAAAATAAATTCCATCTTTTTCAAGTTTTTATTATATTTTTGATTCATTTGTTAATTTTTCTAGGAATGTAATAAAACTATTAGAAGTTCTTCACTTTCTACCATTTGGTGTCAGTAAATGGGCCCAAACCATACAGGCATGTTTTGTAGAACAACTTTATTGGCTACTCAAAGTTAAGTAGGGATGAGGAACCAGGGCTGTTTTGCAAAGAAAAAAAACAACAAACCAAACATTACCTATTTTCTTTATTGAAACATAAAAGGCTGACTACTTTCTATATCAAAATCATTAAGTAAGGGCTGGGCGTGGGGCTCAGTGGTAGAGCGCTTCCCTCATATGTGTGGGGCCCTAGGTTCCATCCTCAGCACCACATACAAATAAATGAATAAAGGTCCATCAGCAACTAAAAAAAATTTTTTAAAAATCATTAAGTATAATTACTGTACAGCAAATATATTAATATGTTTCTTCTTCTTTTTAGTATTGGGGATTGAACCCAAGGGTGCTTAACCACTGAGCCAKACCCCTACCTTTTTTTTTCTTTTACAGTTTTTTATTTAGAGACAGGGTCTCACTGAGTTGCTTAGACCTTGCTAAGTTGTTGAGGCTGGCTATGAACTCGAGATTCTCCTGCCTCAGCCTCCTGAGCTCCTGGGATTACAGGTGTGGGCCACCACACCCAGCTATGTTTCTTCTTCTATGTATGATCAGATCTACTTTCAAACTTCATATGTAGTTGCAAATATTTTCTGTATTTTTAAAATATTGTCTTTCATTCTGCTGACTATTTCCTTTGCTGAGCAGAAGAAGCTTTGTAGTTTGATGTAATCCCATTTGTCTATTTTTGCTTTTGTTGTGTGTTATTGAAGTACGTTCCAAAAAAAAATAAAAAAATACTGCTCTGGCCAATGAATGTCATGAAACATTTCCTTTGTATTTTCTTCTAGTAGCTTCATAGTTTGTGGTTTTATATTTAAGTTTTAAATCTATTTTGTGTTGATTTTTGGAATTAGTGAGAGACAGAGGTCTAGCTTCATTGTTCTGCAMATTGATATCAAGTTTTCCTGGCCCCAGTTCTTGAAAAAGGCACCCTTTTCCAAATGTGTGTTCTTGGCACCTTTGTTGAAAAACAGTTGGCCAAAGTGTGTTGATTTCTTTTGGGGCTCTCTGTTCTATAAGTGTATGTGTTTGTTTTTATGCCAGGGGCATGCTGTTTTGGGTACTATAACTTTGTAATATATTCTGAAGTCAAATAGTATGATGCCTTTCGGTTTTTATTTGTTTGTTTGTTTAACATTGTTTGGTTTGGGGAGGTCTTTTGTGGTACCATGAATTTTAGGAGTGATTTTTGTATTTCTTTGGAGAATATCATTGATACTTTGGTAAAGATTGCATTGACTGTAGATTATGCTAAGTAATAATATGCTAAATGAGTTTTTTCAATGCTGCAGTAAATAACTTTTTACAGATTTATATAGATAGGAACCAGATGTTATAGTTTTAACAGATAATATAAGATAAAATTTAAATTTTTGCTTAAAGAAAGACTGTTTAATGCCATAGAGCAAAATGTATTTTAAGTAAAGTGTTATCATTGAAGAGTTGTATTGCTTTAAAAATTGTCCTATAGAAGCTAGGGAGAAAAGAAGAGGCGGTGGGAGGAGAAAGGATTTTATGAAAATAGAAGGGAGACCAGCAGGGTAGAGAGTAGGGATTGGGGGGGAGGGAATGGGGAGGTACAGAGATATGCAGAAGACCAAATTATGCTATGTGCAGGTACAGATATATCACAATGAAGCCTACTATTATGTGTAATTATAATTCACCAATAAAATAAATAGTCCTGTGGTTTTATAAAAAGAACTTTTAAAAAAGTTTATAAAAGAACATTTTTCTCCTACTTTGTTAAAAAGTAAGATTAATTTAAAGCTCTATTGGTTCTAGGAACTTGGCAAAATTTTATTTTTTGCCCAACAAAATAAATGATGTAGAATTATTCTCTTTATTTTCTCATTAGAGAAAAGTAGAGATTCCTCTGGCAAGGATGATATACACTTGCCCTCACTTAGATTATAGTTGGTTGATGAGAGCATTATTCTGAGCCAGTTTTAAGTAAAAATAAAATAAAAAAGAAAAGTCTCTACTTTTTAAATTTAATTTAATTTCCTTAATTAAAGGGAAAAAAAGATGTTTTGTTGAAATGAAGTTGCCAAATTCATGTTTCTGATGAATATTTACCTTTTTGTTTATTGGAATCAGAAACACTAGAAGGCAGTCTCTGAACTGAATAGATTAAAGAGACTACAAAGAGGAGAGAGACAGACAGACGGGCAGGCAGACAGATGCACCAGAGTCTGTGTATTCTCTGGGTTCTGTGTTTGAATTCGATGGGCACACTGTGCCCCTCATCATGACTCCTCTTCTGAGGTTTTGCTTGTTCTTCTCTCAGAATGGACTCAACGCTCTCCATCTGGCTGCCAAGGAGGGCCACGTGGGGCTGGTCCAGGAGCTGCTGGGACGAGGGTCCTCGGTGGATTCTGCCACTAAGGTAATGTTCATGCTGATAGAACTTGTGTTCCTTAGAAAAGAGGACTTACTTTGGAGCTTCTTTTCCCGGTGTGCATTTCAGAGGTTCCCTGGAGCATTGAAATTCATAACTACACAACCACAGCGGAAGACCTCCCATTTAAACTTTCCAGTTTGAATCTTTTGTTTAAGGATTTATCAGACATGAGACTGAAGACATTTCTAAATCTAGCATTGAATAAATTGTCTTTCCTGTTTTGATTCACAAAGAGGACTAAATCAATATATTTATCTGTGAATAATACCATTTTTTCCCTAAGATTAATTCATTTTTTAAAAGTAAATTGATGTGGCAAACTTGTCAGTGGAAATGAACAAGTAATTTTCATGCTTTAATTAAATTGACATATCTTRTAATATATTCATTCAACATGGTATGGGAATATACAGAATCCTTTAATGGAAAAGAGCTTTTGGATTTTGGATTGAATTACTAGGGTAAGATTAGACTTTTTTTTTTTTCACTATAAATATGTGTTTATAAAGAACTTGGAACTCACTTTTTTTTTTTTTTTTGAGGGGGGTACTGGGGATTGAACCCAGGGCACTTAACCAATGAGCCATATTCCCAGCCCTTTTTCATATGTAGAAACAGAGTCTTGCTGAATTGCTTAAGCCCTCACTAAATTGTTGAGGAGGCTGGCTTTGAACTTCCGATTCTCCTCCCTAGCTGCTCCGATTACAGTTGTGCCCCACCATGCCCAGCTGGAACTCACTTTTAAAGAAATACACAAGATGCTTGGCATTACTAGAAGCTATGATCCCTTGTGGATGCTGTTTTTGTTAAAATACATTTGAACCTGTTGACATGTGTATTATAAATAATAGATGTTAAAAAA